AAGTGATTGGCTTATTTGATAATTTGCCGAAACGCCGAACCAATCGGTTATTTTTATATTTACATCAATCTGTTACAGCTTGGCCCCACCCACAGTTCCTTCTCTCCCTTCCGCTCCGCACGTGATTTGTTTAACTATACGCCTATTTCAAAGAAAAAATATATTTTTAAAATCATTTTAGTTTTATCTAAAGGACAAAGGAATGGGAATATACTCAGTAGATATTTTTATGTGTAACCCGCCATGTTGAAAATATAGTTCACGTCTGTTTTTCTCAATTTTGTTGTATTTGAATTGAAATTGAAGGAATCTACCGGTTTCCTATGTTGAAATGAAATAGAACAACTGAAAATTTACACCTTTAAAAGTCAAATACCACTTTACATTTGCATAGAGAGAAACATTAAAATATGAATATTTATCTAACCATAATGTAAATTATAGATATAGGAATCGAAGACAACTAGCGACTAAAACATGCATTGTACAACTGAAGATTTCTTTAAAGAAAATCATGCATTTCATTTATGATTTTATCCGTATGATAATAATATATAAAGAAAAACAAGCCAGAAAATCCACAATGAAATAAAACAGATGTGTTTGTGTCCAGTTCTTCTCCAATGCCATATTATAAGACTTCGGTTTCAGAAAACCACTTGTTCCTAGATAGCTCTAATTCTCATCAGAAACGACATGGTTTGCATTGGCTGAAAGAAATTTGTATGAAGCCAAATACGTCGGCAGATCATAATTTTGTTCACACGTTTTCGCTGGCCGTTGACTACAACACTCCTGGACACTACCAACTGATTCTGAACAGCAGAAATTTCGAAAAACTGGTTACTATTTCCTCGAAGATCATCATTCAAAAAAATGCATTTGTTCAACAAATTATCCGGAGAAAGAACAAGACACAGGATGACCAGTTCTCGCTTTTGGGCTGTTGTCAGGGTCCAGTACAAGTTGTACTGCTTCAGTCGGTGTAAGTTAGGCGTGTCGGACGTGTCCATCTCTAGAAGCGTACACACACATTCAAAATAATACATCAATTTGGCAACGGGTGAATTCGGTATTGTAACAGTTTTGGAGATGTTTCGAATGTTAAAGTTTGTCCTGTTGAAGCTAAGAGCCATATTGTATATAGTTTAATGATATTTTCTTTTTTTTATGACCCCCTTGGTAGTAACTTGTACAGAATTTGAAGAAAAAAGGTAGATTCACCTATATATATATACATTCTGGAATTGGTCCCCTTTTTCTTCCGAGAAACAGGAAGAGAAATTCTGTTCTTGAACTTTGATACTTATGTACATCAATACTCGATAAACATCAAACTGTCACAAATACCTCATTAATTTGGCAAATTTACGTATGTGAAACTGAAAATGGGTCGCTTCTTCTCTTTTTCTTGGAAACCGGAAGATTTAAAAAAGACAGGAATCCGTTCTTAATTAAATTAGTTCTGCTATTTCTATGTTGACAATTCTGTCAATCAGCAGGTAGAAACTAGCCCATTTTCTTGCAATACCATTATATTCTCTTCAATGCACTCTTTTGTTGAAATTATCGCGTAAACAGCGAAAGTGAATCGCACAGAAAAAGCACGTCTACGGCTACATTTCGTAAATAAACAAGAAACATCGAAATCCAAACTCGGTTATTGTGATGAAGGTTTGAAAATTAATTGATATCTACAAACAAAACGGGGTATATTAAAATAAAATATTTAACCTTTGAAATTCCTTTTTTCGGTCTGTGTATGTATGTATTTTATTATTTGTCTTTTGTATGTAACATTGTTGTATGCCAACATGTTTGGTGAATCAATAGAGAAATTGAAATTGAAAATAAAAATAAGACAAAAATATGAATATAATGACAGTGTCCATGTTTTGCTACGGGAAACCCAAAATATGTGTCGGATCAAAAAGTAAGATAGGAAGTGCACAATGGCAATATGTAATAAAGATTCTCTGAAACTTTCTTCAAATTTCATTCAGTATGAAGGAGTTGCGGATAAGAGATGGGTATATAACCCAAAGCGTAAAAGACGGACGGACGGATGAACATCCTTTTCAAGCGGGGGTTAAAATATAATTCGAGAAGCAATAACTAGCAAGTCCCAGGGTTAAAAATTGGGAAAGGGAGGAGTCCTGTTCACAAGTACCAGTGTAACAAACTATTTAGTGAGCTATAAAAGGTTAGATTTTTATGACTTCCTTTCTTGGGATCAATGAAAAAATATCAATGTTTTTGTCAATCAGCCAAACAGGTTAGGTAAACCCGTTAAAAAAACACCTTTTAGCTAAGTTGTTATCCAGATACATGTATAAATATACCAAACGAAAACCTTTTACCATGTTTCAGCGTATCCTTAGTAAAGAATTTACATATCAGGTAGGTGAAAAGTTCCTTACTTAATTCTGGCTTTTTATTTGTAGCCAATATACAAATATACGAGTACATGTATTACAATCATTAAATAGACGGCGAATGCGGGGACATAGCCCCACCCCACACCCTTTTTCGATTAAAAGTAACATAACAATATCACTGGCTGTTTAAATCAGAACACTAGTGATGCCATTTAGACATATACAGAACAGAACATGTAGAATGCTCTTTGTTCATGTATATTCTCTAAATGTCTAACACACAATACATGTAGCTAGGTCCTCTATCGAAACTTAACTTCATTCTTGTGCCAAAAGAAATTGTGTTCTGACAATACAAGATACAAAATTTGCTGTTCCATTAATTACAAGGCATGTGACGAATTCTGACAGCATTGGCATTACATCTAACAACGCTAAGGACGTTTCCAAGTAGACAAAAATACAGCTAGAAAATATTGAATCTGGATTTGGTCGAAGACGCGATGATTAGATGAGAATGACTCTTTAGTGCAATGATGCAATGACGAGGACGTCCGTCATACATGTATATATAACGCAACGATGCAATGAGAATGCGATGTCATGATGCTTGGTACGATACAGCTTTGAAACACTGATGCGATAACAATATTGCCATGGTGCGATTAACGATGAAACAATCCTCCATCTTGCTATTGAACCTTATTGTATCATCGTTTTTGCTGTATCGTTTCATCGTCATTGCGATGAGGGATAGCGAAGTACGCGATTCCATAGCTTTCAGATGCCATATCACTCCAAAGCCTTAGTCAAGGTTTTGGATGTCTGAAAAATATTGATCTTAATATCTCATTTAATTTTATTCTACTTATCTGTTATTTGTTTTTCTTTTAATTTTTTTTTATCATGTATTGTCTAACACACTATATCTTCATGACAAAGAATCTTTATGACTTCCTTTCTTCGGAATAATTAAATGAATAAAACTTTTGTCCATCTGCCAAACTAGGTGGATTGATTCCTTTTCAAATTGCACTTCAACTTGGTATATATTCAGGGTGTAAGAATACATGCGTTCTAGAAACTATAAAAACAGTAACTGTGACACTCCTGTATAAAACTAGAGAGCAACGAGCTCACTAAATGATACCCCCGCCTCTCATATGATTATAATGACAAAGTCCTTGTTTTACTCTTGGAGACCCATCTTCGCTAGCGAAGGGTTTCCGATCCGATACCTACTCTACAACAGGTTTCGGATCGGAAACCCTTGGCTAGCGAAGATGTTAGGGACCTGAAATAAGTGTCAGATCAAAAAGTAAAATAGGAGGTGCACAATGGCACTATATAACGAAGATTCTGTGAAAGTCTCATTTCATTCAGTGGTAAAAGATGAGTTGCAGATAAGAGATAGGCACCCCAAAGCGTAACAGACGGACGGACGGACAGATGGACGTACCGCTAGACGGACATCCCGATTACTATATTCCCTGCCGCTTTTCAAGCGGGGTATAAAATACTTAATATTAAAATTGGGTTGCATGCATGTAGCCCTCCTTATTGGTAAAAAACTTAAGGAAGAGATATTCAGTTTACTCTGCTTTGACAATCATGCAGACCTCTTGCTGCAATTATCAGTAAAAAGAATGAAAAAAATAAATAAATTGCTAGGTGTTCATAAAGAATCTAATCCAATATTATTATACTCCCGCTTGAAAAGCGGGAAGGTATTTAGTAATCGTGATGTAGGTCCGTCCGTCTGTTACTCTTATGGGTACCCATCTCTTATGCGCAACTCTTCTCATACCACTGAATGAAATTTAATGGAACTTTCACAGAATCTCAATTACATATTGCCATTGTGCACCTTCTATTTTACTTTTTGATCCGACACATTTTTGGGTTTTCTATAGCAAAACATGGACACTGCCATTATATTCATATGCGAGGCGGGGGTTTCATTTAGTGAGCTCATTGCTCACAGTACCTCTAGTTTACGTTAGTTTAACGTGTTCATAAATAAGTCGAGTTTTAATTTTATGCTCCCGTAAGGGAGGATTCGGGGGCATATAGTTTTTGCATTGTCTCACTGTTCATATGTTTGTTTTAACTTTGTAAATTTTGAATGGTCCAATAGAACTGTCATATTTCAGTTTATTGCTTATGACCTTTCGTTAGGTACCAACGTAATTTACCTTTGCCCCTAGCTAAGTTTGGATATAAATTTTGAATAGTTGAAGCTTTGCCTTTTATTTTTCACAACTGTATTTCTTTTTTTTTTTGACAAGACCTTTCTTTTAAGTGACAATGTTGTTGAGTTTGCTCCGTGGTCACCAAACATGTTGATTTTAAAATTAAATATCATGCCTTTTATCAAAACACATGGAATGAAACTTAAAACTTTGAAGAAATAAATATTTTTCATTAAGGTAATGTTCTCATTTTTTAAATTTGTTGAAGTTAATATTACAAAGATTGACAGGGTCCATGAACTTTCCAAACAACTGTTGCCTGAATTCTTCCAATATACTGATATTTCAGTATAATTGCATTTAACTGCACTGTACATGTATAAACATAATCTATAAAGAGGTTTTTATTTTGCAAGTGTTATTTTATTACTGACTATTAATAATAGAATTTATAAGGTTCAAATATGATAATTTTAACAATTACAGTTAACAACAAAACAGAGAAAATTTCCTAGAGAAATTTATCTTCCCATTGATAAACTCAAATTTATTATTCAGGGGTGTGTCATAAGTTATTTGTAATTGAATCATTCCAGTCTGCTTCATTGTACAAAGAAGCATAGTAAACTCATCTTCCTGCAATCAAACTTTACTCAACTAGAGTGATTAAACTTAATCTGATAATCCATGTCATCTCTACAGTGTACATACTGAAATTCAGATAAAATTCATTGACAACTTCATACCTGGCTTTAACAATTAACAATTCTATATTTACTATGACATGAATTTGACATAAATGCCTTTTGGTTCAAAAAAATTATTCTTGCTAGAAAGATATTTACAATATCAATTTTATTAAAAATTGAAATCTTTAATCGACTCCCAAATGGTCACACATCATACATGAACATATTAAGGGTCACTACAGATGGAAATTCCATTAAAAAATACAATGTGTATGTCTATATTCTATAAGAGGTTCACTTGAAGGCAGATGAGTAATATTCATCCTCTAGTTCAAACAAGTCGATGGCCATTTCGTCCCTGAGGGAGGTGAGTTTGTTATCAAGGTCCTGTTGAAGAGACTTGCAGTTCTTGGCATTCCTGATAATGGACTCATTAACAGAGGGGAAGTCATTCAGAATCATAAACTGTTTCAGATCAGACACAGACTTCATCAGAGATTCTCCTGCTCTCACCTACACAGAAAAATTCATACAATTTCATTGATAGCTTGACTTTAATAGCCTATGGCATGGTAAGTCACGTCACATCACCCAGTCAGATGAGGTTATATGCAGTATCACATCAGAGAATATTTTAGCAGAAGAAAGTACACTGTACTGCCATTTCATTAAACATTTCTATCTTTTAGAGCTGTGTCAGCAAAATAAGAAAGGATGAACTATCAATTAAAAGATTTACATATATTTCCTCTAAGATCAAGTTGCAAAAAGCTTCACATAAAAATTATTTCAAATAAAGAAAGAATCAAATCTTAAAATGTAACTTTTTAAACTTTGAATGAAAAATTGACAAGTATATTAATAAGCAGGAGATGCTGGAGAGGATGAAACTCACTATATTGGCTGCCCGGACCTGCATTTCGTACTGATCTTCCTCTGTCTGTGTATACTTGGATATCTGAGAATCTTCATCCATCTGAGTTAACAGATTTTTTTCTTTTTAAGATATGCATTTGTATCATAATATAATTTAAAATGGCATTTATATGATATAATTTGATAATTTTCTTACTGCTAACTTACTAGACTAAAAACAAATATTAGGACTAATTAAGTTAAAAAAAAGTTTTATCATAAAAAGAATTTAAAGAAAATCCATGAATATATAATTAAACAACAATTTCATTGAGCTTACTCTGGCTAGTTTGATTATCTCTTCAAAATTGACAAGCATTGACTGGATGTTATCCTTTAACTTTTTGTTGTAAGACTTTAGAAGGGCTTCTTTGCTCTGAGGCAGGCTCCTTGCTTGAGACATTTTGGAATGCTTTCCTCCAAGATCCAAAAGGTTACATTATACTGATAATTTTCTAAAATAAAAGAGAGCACAGGTCAAACTTTTATGGTATTAAGTTAAAGCATAAGTAATGTCTTACCCTTAACTGATATCTAACGTTTACTGTATTTTGTCTGTTTTTGTTTCACACTACGCACTGACGAAAAAATTGTGTCTTTTCTCAGAATTGATTCATAATAAGTCTTTACTAATTTTAATGCTAAATTTTATTAACTTTGTTTATTTAACCCGAACAAAGCAGTCAAAAATCAGTAAATAGCTCAAAATGAAAAAAAAAAAACCCACCGAGGATCCGCTTTGTTGAAATCGAAAGTAGAATGAGATAACTCGTCCGTTTTTAAATTCGTCTATCAAAATAAAACGAAAGAAATTAACAAAATTGCATAAAATAATAATTTAGTGTCCCTAAAAAAGTATATTTCGAGCCAAAAAAAATAGTTAAGCTTCAAGTCATAAATTTCATTATTCCCTGACACAAGAGAATCTTGGTTCAACTTGCTTAACATTGTGAAAACGAGATTCGGTCTCTTCCGGGTCAGTTAAAATGGTATGGAAGACGTGAAATCATTATGTTCAAGACAAATCGAGCGTCATCTTAGACAATCTTTTATTTGTTGTAAACTTTAGTTAAATATTTCATTTTGTCAATGATATTTGATGTATGAAAACTCAGTTTATGCATCAACATTGACTTATTTTCGTTAAAAAAATTATACTGAGTCAACATACTATTTGACAACAAACATGGAAAAACAGCTCAAATCAAGAAAATATAACATTCCTCGTTATTTTGATCTAGAAAAGCAACCATAAATATAATGAAATGATTATACAGAAAGGAAATGATATATGGCTATCTATGTAAGTCCCTTGTGTGTAAGTAAAAACAAAATCGTGTGCACAATCATTTGAATCATCCCCCCCTCTTCCAAACACCAATTCTGCTCTAAATCTGATTATGAGAACAGTATTATTTGGATGATTAAGCACAAAGATCAGTATATGTTTGGTAGATATCTCAAGTACTGTATTTTTCAACACTGTTATTTTCATCGTGGCCATTGGCCAATGTGAACAGCCAGGCAACAGCATTTGTAACTAAGGCTTCTGATCCCATCCATGCTTTCTCAAGGGTCCATGTTTTTTGTCCTTAACTTGCATTGTTTCAGCATTTATAAGTGATTATCACTGTTTATTTTCTTCACCTCTTTCTTAGCAGCTTGAAACAGGTTATGAATACAATTGTGAAATTTATTCCTTTCACATCAAGTTTCTCAATTCAATCAGTTTCCTGATCTGTATAAAACAATGACATTCTTGAAATAAAGATTTTTTTTCTGCAGCCTGTTAAAAAAAAGGGGAAGAAGAAGGTGGCAGCAGCCCCACTGGTGGCTAAGAAAGCTGCGGAACCCAAAAAAGTAGCAAACCCCCTGCTTGAAAAAAGACCACGAAACTTTGGAATAGGTAAGGCCATCCTTAAAAAAATGTTTGTTTGGAATTGCCGCCTGGGGGTTTTCAGACCCAGGAGGGAGGGAGGGAATTTTTTTTTTTTTTTTTTACAAACTGAAGCTAAATAATACAAAAAATGTAAACAGTGGTGATTTTCTTTAATTTTCCTTTTTCTTTTATTTTATTAATATAATTTTTGTTTGATTTTCAAAACAATATATAGCCCTACACAGAACGGTACTCAAATATCAATCCAATTTAGATTTTAGAGCTGCTCATTTATTTAAAGTCAAATTTCAGCATCAAAATTCTTTTTTTTTTTTTTATCTTTTTTAAACAATAATTTTATAGGTCTATTTTAAAGCATTTCTCTTTGAAATTTAGCCCTTTGTTACAACTCTTACAAACGGTGCGAACCACACAAAATTTCTTAACTGCTCAAGAATTGTTGGGATGATTTGTGGAAAAGCGGGAGGGGTGCTTGGTACATGTCTGTTTTTGAGTGTCAATCAATTTTAACATTACGTTTCAAATACTTGTCATCTATACTGTCAGACACACAACATTTTCCTGTAGTATTTGGGATAGAACATTTCTAATCCATGTAATTTTTTAACTGGGACCTGTCAGAACGATCATTTTTAATTTCAACATGACGCACTTAGCCTATCAAGTTCAGTGTGCAATCTATAGAATAGCTCGTTCCAGGTGGGTATTGTTGTAACATTCCATTTAATTTTTTATTCACCTTTTAATTTTATGGACATGCATAAATGTTCTGCTCTTCACCGCTTGAATGTTTTATCTATTCACTGATCCAACCTGGTCTGACATTTTGGCGGCTTTTATTTTGTCAAATCGCCACCTCTTATCTCTATATCATAAATACTATGAAGAAAGCGTTTTATTGACCGGTGTTGTTAAATTAATGCGAGCTCAAACCCGACTTTAAAAAGCTATTTTGACGAACGAACTGACTTGTAATAAACAATGCAAGACGATAGAACGATAAAAAAAATATCTGTAATATTTCGCCAATTAAATTTTTTGAGCGGGGGGTATTTCAATGAGGCGGGCGGCAATTCCAAACAAACTATAATTTTATTTTGGCCTAAGTTGCAAAACAAATTGGTAAAAATCAGTAAAAATGACAAATTGTTTGATAAGGAACATTTTTAGCGGCAATCTTTGGTTTAAATACACGGTAAGATTGAATGAAGTGCATTTTCATTTAGTGAGAACTTTCATAATATTAAAAAAGTTGTTGGCTTAGTGGATAAAGGTGGGTGATTCTGTTATGTCATTGTTAAATTCTGGTTTAGGTAAATGGTAGATAAAAAATCAATGATTTCTGTGTTGGCCAGCTGTGGGATCAATTTTAAATAAATCAGTTATTTACAGGTCAGGATATTCAGCCTAAACGTGATCTGAGTCGCTTTGTAAGATGGCCCAAATACATTCGTCTCCAACGCCAGAAAGCAGTGCTGATGCAGAGATTGAAGGTCCCTCCCCCCATCAACCAGTTCAGTGGATCACAAGCTCTTGATAGGCAGACAGGTACAAGAAAACATCTGAGGATGTATAATCCTTTTTATTATAATGAAATAAAATTTGCTTGTAATAATGACATTTCATTCACTTTATTTTACCTAAAAATTAAATCTTGTGCTACTTTCTGTGGAAGTCCAAGCTATGATTAAAATCTAATTGCTGATGATGGTAGAGACCATTTTTGAAGGAATTTTTAACTACCAAGATCTCTGAGCTTGGATTCTGCAGTTTACTATAGCATGTTTAAACATTTGCTGTTCAATAAACTCTTTTGAAAGTAGTGCTTGTACATATACCTTAAAGGACAAAGTATGTACATGTATCAGTGGCATCTGTTTACTTCATACCTTGACTGGTTACTTATCCAAAAAAAAAAAAAAAGCTTTTGGAAGTATGAATTGAATTATGTCCTTTATGAGAGGATGCTCTGCCTTGCAGTGCTCTTGTTCATAAAGCTTACTTCCAATAGCAATATCCTGCAAAAAAGAGAAGAAAATAAAATTTTCTTTTCTTTTATTATCTAACATAAAAAAGGGTTTGGGAATTTAATATCAGTTTAGATCCTCAGGGTCCGACACTCGTCAAAATTTGGTCTCGCCATTTGGGCAACCTTGTACTGATCACAGGTTGCCCGAATGAATTTCAGGTCGTCCAAATAAAATATCAAATGAAAGAAATCTTAATATGCAATTGTTTAAAATTTGTTAAGATAATTAACAGAACTTGTGTTTTTGTATTGAAAAATGTAAACCAGGCATTTTTGGAATGTCAAGATGTCTTCCAGTATTTTATCAAACAAAAATATAAGCAGAATCGGACATGCAGAATGCTAAAATTTGCAGTTTAAAACATTCATTTTCACTTACCATGAAGGCCTTAATAAAGGGGGTCAAATATCCCTGGACTGAATTAACCAGGTGTGATATTATAGTGGACACCCAAAATGGCTGTCTAGCAGCAGAAAACGATCATCATCATCAGATGATCAGAAAGTTGTGTAGGGAAATGCAAGCTGTTACAATGATGATTATTTAAGGAATGAAGCTAATTTCAACTTATGTTATCCGATATAACATAACTTGGGGCAGTTTACGCTTTATAAACCGCGAAGCGGTTGATAAAAAAGCGTAAACTGCCCCAAGTTTTGTTATATCGGATAACATAAGTTGAAATTAGCTTCATTCCTTATAATTTAATTCCAGTGTAGACAATGAGACTATATTTCCACCGGAAAAAGACTTCAAATTGAGCATTTTTTAAAAAGTAACGTCAAGCGGAGTAATACGTTTTTGACGTAACTCATTGGGACGTAGGCAAGTTATGTTATCCAAAATATTATATGTTCCTCTGAATGATTCAGCCAATGAAACTGCTTGATACAAGTGAAATTAAATTATTACCCTTTATATTTAAGGTGATTGTTGACTAAGTTGACATATTTTATATCTCAAATAAAACTTTATTAAAGACTTTTAGTAAAAATTGCATCAGCTGATTGATCGAACACAGATTTGGCAGGAAAAAAAATTTACGCAGCTGCAATTTGAACATGTTGAATGTGTTGGTTTGGTTACAGGAAAATGTGTTTTAAGGCCTTATGAAGTTTATTTTAAAATATTAAACATTTTTATTAAATATTCCCGACTTGTCCCAGATCGTCATTTGGGCGAGCCAGACTGAAAATCAGGTCGTCCGAAATCATTTCTGGGTGGAAATGACGAGGTGACGAGCGTGAATGTCGAACCCAGGATCCTAAATAGCATATTATATTTTCTGTTGTTTTAATACCCAAATTTAACTTAGTATTGAATTAATCAAAACTGTTACCTGTAAACTTAATTGGATTTTGTTGAACTGTTTCTTCAAGATAACGTGGAATTTTGGATTGTAATGAATTTTGTTTTTATTAAAATTATCATTCAAGTTTAATCCAAGTGATGATGTTAAAAATGCACTGAGAATTCCATGATATATATAAAAAATCTACACACTTGATCTCTGAACTTGGATAACCAAAAAAACAAAGTAAACGTATCTCTTTGATATTTGATCTTATAGACCTTTATTCTTTGATATTGTAGCCACCCAGCTGTTCCGCCTGATGGACAAGTACAGGCCCGAGTCCAAACAACAGAAGAAGGCTCGACTAAAGGCTAGAGCTGAGGAAAGGGCAGCAGGAAAGGAGGACAAGCCCACTAAACGACCCCCAGTCATGAGGTCAGGGGTCAACACAGTGACCGCCCTCGTAGAGCAGAAGAAAGCTCAGCTGGTTGTCATTGCACACGATGTTGACCCAATTGAAGTGAGTAGATTTTGTGGCAGCTGTTCTGACTTGGGT